AAACTGTACGACTATATTTCCTTCAAGTCAACTCCAAGGATGAGGAAGAAGCCACCGGAACATCAAGTGGACTTTAATTTCGTTTGTCGAACATGTTATATTAGACAAGCGAATTCTTAGCTGATCGTTTTTTTAGACAGACTTACTTTACTGAGCGAATTGCTTGTTCAGCGGATCAGTTTACTTTGTAAACAAGACTCGTCAAATGATGCCTGACCATGGTTGTCAAGACGGTCAGTTGCTGTCACGACCAAGGCTAAACCTCTAGCAAGTTGTCGAAAAAGTTACGCAGCAACTACATTTCTGACCTAGCCTGATTTACAACTGCGTGGGAGGGGGCACCTCCTGGCCTGATGGCAACCTTGCTGTTCCATTGTGAGTCACCATGTTATCGTGGAACCCTGGTCTTAGCAGCTCGACTTCGGTGAGACTCCCTCGGTATCGTAAATATGACGCAGTGTGCAAAATACACTGATTTGCACATCAGTTTGGTTTTCACGGGAGCCTCAACTCAACTGAATCGCTCGTTCATGGTATCCTGATGCATCACATTCAGTTTAATTCACGCATCCACATACAACGCTTCTTTCCGATGACCAACCGCTGTCTCACAATCACACACAAATTTGTTTCTGAAGCTAGGTTTGTGCTGCCAGCTTTTATGAAAGATTTTTTTGGTTCCATTTCACCCAGTGATTCACCGTTTATTTTTTTCCCGAAAGTGATGCAGAACACAGAAAAGTCGTCTCTACTTTTGACGAACTGGTGTTCGTCTTAGTTCAAAGGCAATCAGTTAGTTATGTTTAAAAGTTGTATTCTGATCACTTTAACCATTTCGTCTATCTCTCACCTTGACCAGGAGACAAGTCTTTAGAACAGACCACTGCGTGCTTGATACTCGAGTGAAAGTTCATAGTGGCTCCAACCTAATGATGGCAGCAACCGATATTTTTCTACTGAAGCTAAGCTCAAATGCATATAAAACATAAACACAGAGCTAATGTGATTATTAGAATGTCTGGGTGTGAAGTTCGGTATTGGAGGTGGTGGTTCAGTGGGCAGGTGAATGAAAATTTGTGGGTTTTGTTCCTTTTACCTTGCAGTAAAACCTCTAACCTAGAGGTCCACCTCCCGGAGCTGTTTATTCGGCATTTTTTACAATAAAAAACTCGGCTTAGAGGCCTGAGTCATTCGATTTTTTCGGGTGCAGCGAAAAGGTAAGTGCTTCCAGTCCTGACTAGCTTGGGGAAATGAGATCAACGTACACGTCACACTAGCTCACGTGAATCACGTGACCGAATGCATCAACGTCCCATGTACCGATAGTTTTTTAGATAGAAATCTCAGCACTGCTACGTACAAAACTGGTGCACAAGCATACAACGTAGAACGCAAATTATAAATGAATAACTGCCTTTTTAATTCGAATTCGCAGGTTAACTTGGTACGGTTGTGAATTCAGCTCCTCCCTGAAAGTCATGACATGGGATCTTAAGAGCTCCGCCATCTTATGGAATACTAATAGACCTTTCTACTTTGGAGCGTCATCAAGCCGCCATGCCAGGTGAGCTCTCACCTGCTTTATCTAAAATCATCCGTGGACCTCTGCGTTGCCTGAACCCATTGTTGATTAAGAAAGACTTCCAGGTAACCCTTATTCAAAAAGTAGACGAAGTGAACGTTTGCCTTACACATGTCAAATCAGGCTCCTGGTACTAGTAATACTGCGACGCTCAATCTCGACACGTGAGAATTAAGGTTGAGAGTGATCGTGCTGTGAGGAAATTCGGTCATTGAAACCAATCTATACTGAAAAACCGAGAAACACCATACAGCTGCTTCATCCTTATTGGGAAAGAGCCTTAAATCCTTGACTTTCCGGTCAGTGATTGGGAGCTTAACCTTGCAGACTCCAGTGGCTGGACAGCAGTGTGATTAGCTCTTAGATAGGAGATAGCACTACTGGTCTCACTGAGAGGAACATACCTCAGTTGAAAATTAGAAAATCTCCTTACATTCTTATCAGACAATAACT